AATACCCATAAAAATATGACTCTTAATATAGATACAAAATTTGCCACCAAATTTATAAGCTGAAATATTGTTCTTTTAAGCACAGTTTCAGAAGATAGAGGGAACATATATGTGTATTCAATGCACGTATAACAGGCTTTTCTGAAATTCTTAAAGACTGTTAGAGCAAGATTTAACATGAGCCTGAGCTTTTGAAGTGAAGTTTTGAAGAATTTTGCTGCCACCTGCCTTCCACACTGGAGAAGTCCAGCTAACTAAGATTTAAAAAAAAAAAAAAAAAAAAGTCACATACATTCCAAGACACAACAGCCAGAATACTTCATTATAACCTGGCATACCACTAGGGAGATAAATTAAGCATTTTCATTAAAGATAAAAAAAAATAAAAAACCACAATAATCCCTTCCTAGTTCAAATTGCTAGCATACACTCAGGTTTCTTATTCCATTCATTTCAGAATTAAAAACATCAAGAAAAAGGGTATCCTTACATAAAATACAAATCCCCTATAACTGTAATTAGACTAAACAGCTTCAGGATTCCAGGCAGCTCATGAAACTGAGGTGTATTTCTGGACTATTCAACAGTGATCTGTTTAAGAAGGAAGCCCAGCAGAAACCCATTTTAATTCAAATCTTTAGAAGTCCACTGGCTTTATAGCTCTGCTGTTAAAAAAAAAAAAAAAAAATTGCTTCTTTTGAGGATACTTGTCAAACAAAGAGGGGAACAACCTCTAAATCATTAATTTCAGTCAAGTACCTTGAAAGACAGTAATACTTTAAAGAAGCAGACCTAGCAGCATCTCCACAGATGGGGATACTATTAGTGTACAGTCCTTTTTAAGCACCAGCAACCCTAGAGGATAAATTGTCACGTGCTCAAGCTACAGGAAAACATACCCTTAAGTTTACATCCTACCAAGTATTCAGCTACAAGACAGAAACCCACAGGAAAACAGGGCTCATCAGCTCTACTGCCCACTTTACTGCTCATCCAAATAGCTGGCTGACAGCAAATAGATATGCCCGTGCTTAAATACAATGTCTTTCTATTGAGAAATGAACAGGGTAACACTGAGCTATCTAAAGATGTGCATACTCATCAGTATAGGAAGAAGTGATTCTTTACCTCTTTTGTTAGGCGAAGTATTGAATTTTTAATAGCAATTTCTTCTCTCACTTGGTCTTCAGTCAGCTTTATATAATCTCTACAACGATTGGGTTTGAGATCCATTGCTGTGTATAACTTTCCTCGAATGCTTTTAAACAACATATCCATAGTCCTTGGCAGAATACCGACATCATCTTCTGTCCCTGAAGGCAACATACAAAAGAAAGATCCTAATTATTACTGGGACCAAGATAAACAGATAAATGAAGACAAAAATAAGCAATCTTAATCTCAAGGGATACATGAGGAATTTGGAGGCCACTTACAGCATCAAACAGTAGGGTTTTGGGTTTTTGTCATAGTGGCTCATTTGTTTTCTCAATATAACAGAAACATCATTAATTTTTTGGAAAGTATTCAGCTTTCAGCAACTGCTCATGCTCTATACTTCTGACAATAAGGGGTAAAACATACAACAAAAAACTGCTGGGGTATTCTCATAAGCTTAGCTTTAAAGGAAGAAAAACAACCCAAACAAAAATACTACAACCAACAAGACACTTAGAGAACTGCAGTTTTTGAAATTGCATTTCATAGGCTGTCTTCACTAACTCTCTCAAGGAAGAAATCTTGAAATGCAAGTCATTACTGATCTCTCAGCTGCTGTCCTGTACTAATTCCACAAACCCGACAAAAGAAGCACTAGAAACCCCTGTGGAAAGACACAGGCCTTTCCCTATCCCAGACTCTTTTATCTTCCAGCCTCTGATAGTTTCTGCTACTCTTGAGACAGATGGGCTTCTAAGAGTTACAGCACTAGCTGTGCCACATAAATCAGAACTTATGTAAAATCTAGGTAGCACTTAAAAAACAAGCCAGGAACTAAATAACATAGGAAATTAAAGTACTGTTGCCTTATGTTTATTTCTCATCATTGTCTCTCTTCTCTAATCATTTTTTGTTTATTGTGATGTCATTTGTTAGTCAACTTGAACAAAGTAACACTCACTGGCAAACAATAAACAGTCTTAAAAAAAGACACAAAAACCCAAACACTAGTCTAGTGTAGAGTAACTTCTATACCTTTCATACCCTGGTACATAGAAGCTATGTTTTCCTAACTCCCTCTCCTCCCTGACATTCTAGATACTTCAAGGGGAAAAGAAAAATCAAACAACTGGTTGAAATTATTCTAACCTTACAAATCACTATATGCTTACTTTAACTCTGGGAGGGACTCCATCTGTTGGCAGCTTAGTGATATTTGTTATGGAAGGGGACTTGCAAAGGCTATTTATTAATATTCAAGATAAACCAATGTCTAGGACCTACACTTTATTTAAAGTAAAAAGCTATAATATTTCTGCTAGAAGCAATAAGCACTCAAAAAAGAAATTTCATTCAAGGAGAACTCATATCTGCTTATACCTCGGAATGTGTAGGTTTTCCCAGCATTTGTAACACCATATGTAAAAATAAGGCGATTATATCCATCTAAGAAATCCTGCACAGGCTGCCTCATGGCGCCTTCAAAGACTTCTTCTTGAGTTGTTTCAGGTCCAAACACCTGAGCATAAACAAAATAAAGATACCTCTTGGTAAAGCAATCATTAGAGGCTTCTAAAGAATCTTTTAAATATTATATATTTGTAAACTTAAAGACTATTGACAGTTTAAAAATCTAGTTTGCTTAGTACTAAATAATTTGAACCAAGTTTTTCTGTGAATAAATTAAAAACATTTAAAGACAATTTATTTACTCTTGAAAAAGTGAACTTCTGTATCATCTGTCCAGCATTCTTTTCACTTAGTCGACTCAAAGAGTTTTGGGGGGCCTTCAGGATGACGCTTCTTGAGTCTTCAAGTGAAACACAGTCCTATTAAAAGGAAACATGAAAAGAGTATAGAAAGCTCAACTTACAGGAGGGAAAAAAAAACCCTACACATTTAAGGTATTTTTAACCTAATTAAGTTTCACACCTGGAATTCATTCTCTCTTTCCAATGATGTAAATGGCCTAATACGCAGACAAACTTCTATGTGTCCCTTAGACTCCAAATTGGTCTTCTTAAGTTAAAAAGAAAAAAAAAGTTAGAAATTTGTTAAGATTCTTCAGTAAGTAGCATGTTAAGGCAATTTTATTTTCAACAGGCTATTTTGAACAGACTTATTTGAAGACATGGGAAGCAAAAGTAATTCATTACATCAGTTTTTACAAGTGCTTAAGCCCCTGCAAAATGTCACTGTCATAACTTACAATTATTAATCTAGCAGCACATGCATATACACTGCATACAGGCCAGCTAGATATCAAGAATGAAACCCACAAAAACATTCCATGATTAAGCTGCTCTAAACTGGCAATTAGCCTCATTCATAGAAGACTGGTGCACGCTGCAAGGTACCAGTGCAGTGCCACAATACTTAGTCTAATCCTATGCATCTTCTCCAAATTCAAGACATACTAAAGATGCTTTTCATCTTCTATGTAAAGTTCTGATTATTGTTACAAACGAAAGGTCTAAACTCCTTTAAAAAGATATCCAAATGCAAGCATCAAAGTTTTCTTACCTGGCTTGTATCTGAGCATGAAGAAACCAAAGAAAATTCAGCAGAGAGATCTGTTTTAATATCTTCCACATATATTGGTTCTGTTCTTTCAGGTGGCTCAATACTACTAATATAGGAGCATCTGGAAAGTCGCTCATTATCCAGCATTGGTTCCATCCTGCAAGATAAAACAACTACTTTTTGCTCTCTGATCATAAAATGTAGAGCTCGTGAAGTCCCTTAGAATACAATTTGAAACCAATAGGTTCAATTTCTCCAAGGAGAAAGATTTCTTTATTCTATATATAATTTACATAGCCAGTTTCTGATAGCTGGGGAGAGGGTCTGCAGAGAGGTTAGCATGATGATGGAACAAGAGCAGCCATTCTTCCATTCTTCTTTTAATGAAAAACAACTGCTTACCAGGAAAAGCCTTACACATATACCACAACTTTGCTAAAAAACATGTCTGACAAGGAAGATAAAATAAAAAAAAAAACCACCAAACAAATTATATTGCTCCACATCCACTTATCCATGATCCTATTATAGCATCCATTTTGAATACTCATTGCACGAGTAACCAAAATTCGTGGATATCTCTGCAGGACCTGAGAAATTCCAAAGACTAAAAATTACCTTTAGCTATTAAAGGGACACTATAAAATTAGAAGACCTCATGTCACAGTATGAGTTAAAGTATTGCCTTTTAGCATTTTTCAATCATTTTAAGCATCAGCAATTCATTTATAAATCCATAATTTAAAGACTTCTGTCCATCTCAGAACCTGGGAAGTGAAAATTTGTGATAGAAAATGAAATTAATTCAACTTTGAGTAGACAGGTAAGTTGCAAAATAACTTTTTTTAAGTGCATTTAAAAATATTAGTTTATTTTATTGGCTAATTTTTTTTTTTTTTTTTTTTTTTTAAATGCACTTTATTTTATTGGACTCTTTCACAGACACCCCCTTGTCGTGGGGAAAGAGCTTGCGTGCCCTTGTGAAGTTGGGAGTTATGCTGGTGGTGGCTTATGC